TCAATCTGGTCATGTAGCTTTGCTTTTTACAGTGTGGATGTTTGGGTTTTAACTGGATCTTCATTTTTGAGATTAAAGGTCGGTGGTCAGTGCCACATTCGGCATCTACTCTGGCTTTTGTGAGACTGACATCTTTTAGGTGCGTCCTTCGAACGATTACGTGGTCCAATTGGTGCCAATGGCCTGATCTCGGATGTTTCCAGGTACCTTTAAATTTGTCCTTCAGCATGAACCACGTATTGGTGATGCAAAGATTATACTCTGTGCATGTTGTTAATAAGCGTTTACCATTGCTATTTACGTTTCCCATTCCATGTTTTCCCAATACGTCAGGCCATATTTCCTGTTGTTTGCCGACACGGGCATTAAAGTCACCTAGCAAAATGATTCGTTCGTGCTTTTGAATTTGTTGGAGTATATTTTGCAGAGCTTGGTATAATTTATCCTTATCCTCAATTTCAATCAATCCTCACTTATCCTTTGTCTAGGGTAAGAGCGTAGACACTTATGATGTTGACGTGAATTTTGTCTGATATGGGGTACCTTAGGGTCATAAGACGTTCGGAGACACCAATAGGTACCTCTGTTAATTTGGTGGCGATTTCGTTTTTGATTGCAAAGCCTACGCCATGAATTCTCCTGTGTGTTGCCGGGTGACCCTTCCAAAAGAAGGTGTAATGCTCCTCAGTGAGACTACCTTCATCCGCAAAACGGGTTTCGCTAAGAGCGGCAACATCTATATTTAGTCGGTGGAGTTCCTGTGAGACCAGTGCTGTTCTTCTCTCTGGTCGATTGGAGTTTGTCCTGTCCAGTAGAGTGCGGACGTTCCACGCCGCAAACGTGAAACATTGACGATGTTTAGTTCTCCGATGATACGCTCGAGTAGGCACCCCCTCCCGGAGATCCGATCGAGGGGGTATTTTACCTCCGGACGATGATTTTGTCCTACTCGAATGTTCCATCTTTGATGAGTGTAAGCTGCGTAAAAAGGTTAAACTGTGACGGTTACGCTGCAACTGTAGCACGGGATGGCTATGGGACAGTGAGGACTGCGACGATAGTTCCCTTGTGCTACGTTCTCGGCCGGCTAGGAGTAGTTAACTACTCCTCTTCCCCCTTCCCCAGAAAGATGGTAGGCCTGAGTTCTATAATGATATACCGCCTATACTCGGTCGTCAGAGCCTCGTTTGTTTAAACAGGGTGCACCACGTGAAGGTGAGGTTGACTTTTGGATAAGCTAGGCTATATGTATCGCTTCAATACCCCTTGCACCCCAGAGTTCGAATCCGGGTCAGGTCAAAGACTTTTATTTTATTTTCGTTGATATTCTGATAGTAAAGTATTAAAAATTAACTATGGTGATTCAAAAACAAATATTTAAAACTTTACTATCAAAATATAAACGAAAATAAAATAAAAAAGTCTTTGACCTGACCCGGATTCGAACTCTGAATCATTGGTTCGTGGTCGGAAACTCTACGCACTGCGCTATGGAGACATGTTCGATTAATATTCAATGCTAGAATTTAAAGGACTAATAAAAATATAGGATCTTCTTTCAATGCGCAGTAGAGAACGCAACGTTTACCGGCAGCCAGACGGCCGCATGCTGTTCTATAGTAAGCATAGTAAAAGATAGATCAAAGAGCCAGACGTCTTAAAATACTTGTTTTTCCGACGTTGCTAGCTCTCGTACTATTTGTTTGAAAAAATTTAGTGTTCTAATCTGAATTAGTTTGATAACCGTATAAATTATTTATAAATAAAGAAAAGTTTTCCTACTTAATAAATTGCATATAATTGATCTGCATAAAAATGCTTCATAAAAAAATTAATGAATATCTATAAACAGGTCCCTTTAAATTGAAAATTAGTAAGATATAAAAGTGATATAAATCGTATAAATCAAAGCTTCTATTCAGAGAACAATCAAATGGTTTTATGATTGTCATAAAAGCTATCGTAAAAATACAAAATTGTAGGCGAAGTGTAATTTTGAGGTAAATTGCAATTTAAAAGTTTACGGGACTGCTCAAGAAGCAACAGTTTAATAAAAAATTTATTGTATGAAAAAGTTTCACATAAAAATGGACGTAAAACTTCAAAATTGCAATTTAGATTTATTATGTTTTTATTTTCATATTAATTTGATTATTATGGTTGCAGAACTCTTGATAACGTTTTTATTCTTTTTCTTTCTATATTTTTAAATAAGTCTTTTAATATTATTTGTTTGGTGGTGTTAGCTAAAATTTTTATATAGTGATATTCAATAATTTAATTATTAACTAATTTGTTAAAGTATTTGTATTTGTTAAAGTACAAATGAACAGATGAATGAATGACAACAGATTGTGTTAACTAAATACAAGTATTATAATTGTTACGCTTTGTTTTTCTATTTTTTATTAATTATTATTCTTTTATATGTTGTTAATTAAATATATTAAATGAAATAAAATATGGAAAAATCAAAAAACAGCTGCTTTGTATTACACAACGAGTAACAAATTTACCTAATATTAATATCAATTATAAAATTAATTTATATCAAAACCAATAATTTAATACTAAATCTGACTTGAAAAGCATCAAGCGAATTTCATACCCAACAACAGCTGCTTATTGTACAGGCATTTGAATTTTAATTATTATAAATTGTGTTTTAATCTAACAACACTTTATCACAATTTAAAACAAATTCGTATAACATTATTTTTAATAATAAAGGTTTTTTAAATACTATTTATTCAGCAGTTTTTAAATGTTTAATAATTTATTTGTAATGCTAATTTAAGATATTTTAATAATTAACTTTGTAAATATAAAAAATAAATTATAAAAGAAATATTTCTGCAAAAGTTTTAGTTAAATGTATTTTTTTTAAATATTGTTTAAATACATAAAAATATATGTATAAATGCCAAATAAAAGTATAAATTATTTTGAATTGCCTAGATTAAGATTATTAAAGATTTAAACTAAAAGAGAGTAAAAAGAAAAAAAAAGAAAAATGTATATTATCGATTGCCTTAAAGCGTTGTATTTCAAGGGCACAAATCGAAGTAAACAACTGTTGATGCATTCAACAGTGCTTTTGTTAGAGTTTCAGACTAGTTCAGTTATACCACTATTATGATTATATAAGCAAACAAAACTAAACTAGAACTAATTTTGAATGATATAACAGTTTATACGGCTAAGCTCATATTATTAAGCTCAAACATTTTATCTAAATTTTATTGTAAGTAATACGAAATATGAAACTAAATGTTTTGTAAAATATGTTTATCCGTTTCTCAGTTTTATTAATAATCTTATTAATAATTTATATATTATCAGAAGAATTTTTCTCTATTATTTTTTCTTCTTTTTTGTGTTTTATTGCTATTAAATACAACTTAATAATTAGATAGAGATTTATTATTTTAAAAAATATTTATTTTCGTTGCTTGTTTTTATTTTACTTTAATTGCAAATTTTAGTTTTTAAAATTAATTAATTTTATTAATTAGTTTTTAAAAGTTGCAATTAAAATAAAAGAGAAGGAAGCAGCGCGAATAAATATTTTAAAAATAATTTCATCTCTAGATTTTTAAATTAATTATTTACTTTTTAAAATTTGCAATTGAAATAAAATAAAAGGAATCATCTAATTATTTTAAAATTTACTAAGGAAATTTAAAAGTATATAATAAAATTAATAAATAAATAAGTCAGTTCAAATTAAAATAAGTAATAAAAATAAATATTTTCCAAAACCTGTTTAGACATATCTCAGTTCTATTAATAATTTTAGTAATAGCTCAACAAGAGAAGAAAGAAAAAAAGCGAGAACTAAAAATGTACAATTAAAAAAATAATAAAAGGTAACGATAATAAATATTTTCTAAACTTTAATAATAAATTAAATTAAAATAAAGCAATTAGTATACCGGGTGTGGCTCACCCCTATAACTTTTTTATTCTTTCTGATAATAAAACGAGATTTGGTATGTTAGTATATTACATAAATTAGGATTTATTGATGTACTCAATTGATTTTTGTCACTTCCTGTTTCACCAGAAATGACCACAACTTTTGATTAAGTTATTCCTCACAGTTATAACAATAATTTTAGTAAAATTAAGAGAGCAAAAAAATAAAAATAACAGAAATTAAAAACTAAAAATTTACAATTAAATTGAAAATAAAAAAGAAGCAGCGAGAACAAATATTTTCTAAAATAATTTAATCTGTATAATTATTGAGTTGTATTTAGTAGCCATAAAAGTACAACAAAGCAATTAAAAAAAATCTACAACTTAATTTATTAATTATTTTCAACTTACTTTGCGTATTATCTACTTAATCAGTTGTATTTAATAACCGCAAAACCATAAGAACAACTAATAAAAAATATAAGCAAAATATTAAGTAAAAATTCACAATTTTAAAATTAAAATCAAATAAATAGAAGCAACGAGAATAAATATTTTCTAAAATAATTTAACATATCTAATTATAGAGTTGTATTTAGTAGCCATAAAACTACAACAAAGAAATTAAAAAAAAAATAATAGAAAAAAATCTAAATCTGAATTTATTAATTATTTTCAACTTATATTGCGTATTATCTAATTGTTCAATTGTATTTAATAATCGCAATAACCCAAAGAATAACTAATAACAAATATAAGCAAAATATGAATTAAAAATTTACAATTAAAATGAAACAAAAAAAGCAACGAGAATAAACATTTTCTAAAATAATTTAATCTGATCTAATTATTGAGTGGTATTTAGTAGCCATAAAAACACAACAAAAAAAAATTAAAAAAAACAAAAATAATAGAAAAAAAATTCTAAACCTTAATTTATTATTTATTTTCAACCTACTTTGCGTATTATCTAATTATTTCAGTTGTATATAATATTCCCAATAACCGAAAGAAACGAAAAAATATAATTATAATATATTTTTTAAACGTTATTATTTTATTTGTTATTTTTAACTTACTTTGCTGCTTGTTCTCGTCAGCCGTCGCAGCCGCGCTGTCGAAAGTTTTGCCGCTGTTGTTTACACTCTCTCCTTCCTTGGGCACTTCGCGCCTGTTCATCGACTGAGCGAACATCGCGAACTATGCGAAAACCGCGCCAACGGCCGCCACCGTCTCCGAATTGCACGGCGCCGTGACGTAGCCGACGATCTCGCTTTCGATTGGCCAGGTTCAATGTCAGAGCGGCGAGCCGGCCTCTCCCCCACCACTACGCGGCGCCCCGCTTAGTGCCGTTGTTCGCGGTGGCGGCTGGGTTAAGGCCAAGCAACAAGGTGTAGGGTAGGTGAATCGGCAGCAGCGGATGCAGCCGCGGACCGTTGGCACAATGGAAGAGTGGGGGTAATTTCGAGATACTTTTTACATGTAGGATTCTGCTGTTGTAACTGCGTCGAATAAAGTAAGTACACACATGGCCAAAATTATTGCATATATCGTTTAAAAATATACGGAAAAGAATTTAAAGAATCTTTTTTTATACATAGCTTTGATAATCTGCAATAAACATTTTTTTTGTTAAAATGGATATGGTAAACAATGTTTATCGATCAGACCCAATATTATTATAAATTCTTGCACATTTCGATTTGTGGTCTCTTGGGTTTCAGAAGAAATTTGACCATTGCTTTGGCCTTAAAGTGCCTAGAAACATTATTTGAGGGGGTTAATTGCAAAGTGTCTAATCTTCAGTTTTATAAAAAAATGACAAAACGAAAAAAACGTATAACTTTAGTGCACTACCATATTATTTTTTTGCTGTTTTAATCAGTTAGGTAAGTATTTAGTGTTAGTTTGTGAATTTGTAGAAAAAAAAATTATTTTAGTGGCGGTATTGAGAAAAAAAAGATGGAGATTGTACTTTATGGAACTCATTGATGGAGATTGTTCACTTTGGAAATAAGTCAACGTCTTTATTTTTTCTGTATGCTTTTATTTAAATTTTAATTGAAACATAAGTCGTGGTTCTAGTTTTTTTTTAAATTATTATCAAAACATAAGAAATAAATAAAATGTTTTTATAAAAAAAATTAAATATTCAGGCTGCATTCTTCTTCCATTGGTTGGCAAATTGAAGGTACTTCTTCAGCAATTCTTTTTTCTTGACTTTCCGCTTCCAGCACAAACTTATAAAATTTCAATTTGGGATTATTTTTCCAGTCTTCCCCATAGTGAGAGCGCAGAAGGTTGTTTACATCTAACTTCTTGATGGAGTTTACCGTGTTAGCCTTGGCGATTATGGTTGGATTCATAGCAGGAATGGCTTTTCCTTTTTTTGTTATTGACTTCCCCATCCCTAAGTCTGAGCGATAGGTACCTTCACCTCGGACTACAACAATCCCTTTTAAATTTTTGGTAATCACCATTCTTTTCATTTTTGAAAATGCATAGTGCCACTGGCCAGGGTTTTTATGAACTTACTCGTTTCATTCTTCCAATTTTTAATTTGAACATCATCGCCAACTTTTAAAACGGTTCCATATCGTGAAAATTGGTTCAGATATTCCTCCGGTCCTAGAATAATTTCCTTCTTACGAATCTCCTTTTCTATATGACCAAAAACCCTGTCAGAGGGAATAAATGAATGACCCCTGACAGGAAAAATAACCTTAATTTTATCTACATTTTGTTTGGAAAGCCAATTACAGCACACTGATATCAGGGTGGTATTCTTATTTTGCCCCCCGCACCCATAATCACACATAATCACACATAAGCCTAACAGTATGGATACCCGTTAAGTCAGAAGTGTCCAGAAGGTGATAGATGCAGGAAGCAATCTCGTTAAATACTTTCTTAAATTCATTCTCAGTCCAACAGAAACAAGTAACTGTTGACGGGGTTCAGTTGGGTTTTTGAAGTGCCTCTCACCACTGTAAAGTTATAGATATTCAACTGCCTAGAATAATAGGCTTGTTGATCAGGGACCTTAGGCAAAACCTGATTTTTCTGGCAGTCGAATGAAAAAATCACAACGCCATCCTCTGCTTCTCTCAAGAGCTGGAAATACGCTTCAGCTCGCATTTTATGCACTTTTTTCTCGGCAAGAAAGTCCTTTTTAACATTCTCGTCATTACAGCTCTTTATCTTCTCTGTCAACTGTAAATATGTTGAACATACGTCAGTGCGCGGATTTCCGAAACCCAAGTTATAAGAGGTATTGAAAATATACCTAAAATAACTATGTTTAACTAATAGTTCTTTGTTTTGAAAGTGATTTTTAGTCACTATGTCAATCCTTCTTCGTGTTATTCCCAAAATATTCATAAAAGACTGTTTGCAAATTGGCACAAGTCTTTTTTGTTCACTAACGATATAAAAATGCGCTTGAAATTTTTTTTCGCTATGTCTCGAATTTTTTGCCCTTTTTCGCTTCACCGGAATGTTCTGGCAATATTTTAGAATGAAGTTATCTTGGTAAACCTTTTCCTTTACTTTATAAATTTTTTTGTGAAAACTGTGTATTTCAGCCATTGTTAGCAAACTGCACTGAAACGCAGAGGTTTTGTGGCCACAAGTTGGGTAAATCGGAAGTAAATGTGGACTATACCTAATTAAAAATTTTCTCATGGAATGAACTCTATTACACCTAATATAAATGCTACTTCTTACCTAAGACATTTCTCTTGTTTTTTCTTCCATCCGGAAGGATTTCTTTTCCTCTTTTGGCCTTTGCCTTCACTAACAGGTGTTACATTAAGACCCATTGTTAATTAAAACTATGCTGATTACTTTAAACACTTAATAACTACAAAAACATAAGAACGTACAAACTAACAACCTTATTACTTTTCAGCAAACAACACAATAATGGCGTTTAGAAACCGTTAATAAACTGACGGTAAACAAATTTAGGCGCCAATCGGATATTGTACACTTTGAATATTAACTTTGGATATTGCCTTAAAATACATTGGAGATTGTACGCTTTGCTTTCATTGATGACCAAGGAGTTTGTACAATTTGAAACTAACAAATGGAAGGAGATTGTACAGTTTGGAACTAATCTCAAATTTTAACCCTAATTTTATACTGGAGAATAACCGTTTTGACGCAAAGTAATTTGATTTTTGAATCTAGCGCCACAAATTACACCAGAAACGACATCTATCTCATTTTTATCAAAACTTGGAGATTGTACACTTTGGAACTAGACCCCTCATTTCACAGTATAATAGAGTCACAATAGTAACACTGTCTCAACAGGGCTACCGGCAAGTTGCAATAGCTGAAATTGTAGGCGTTAACCAAAGCGATGTTTTGCGAATATTAAAAAAATCAGGGAGACAAACGAGGTTACAGACCGGCCTGGAAGAGGTAGAAAGAGAGTTACTACTGCTATGCAAGACCGTCAAATATCCTTAATTGCACGACGCAGTCTCCTGCTTTCTAGTACTGCTATTAAAAATGAGTTACATCGCCTCGAAGGAGTAAATGTTTCAAGAAAGACCATAGCAAGAAGACTCCATGACAGAGGATTACATTTAAGGAGGCCTCTACGTGTTCCGAAGCTTAATTTACAGCATAAAATTACGCGACTACAAACTACAATGGGCTGAGGAGATTAGAACAAATGGACCTAATTGGAATTTCGTCATGTTTAATGATGAAACAAGAATAGGTCGAGTGCCAGATTCGCCACGAACTTTGATCTGGAGAGCATCTGGAAGACGAGCACGCTTGAATGTAGCTCAACCCCGTGTCCCGTTTCAAGGGGGAAGCATTATGGTATAAGCAGGTATAATGCACGGAGCTCGAATTCCTCTTGTTTTTATTGATGGCACAATGACAGGTGCCTCATATCTTAGAGACGTTTTGTGCGTCCATTTCGAGGGGCAGTGGGGGATGAATTTGTTTACATGGACGATAATGCACTTTAGCGGTTCGCGAATTTTGTAGGAAGATGGTATAAGAAAACTGTGGTGGCCACCGATATCTCCAGATATGAATGTGATCAAGCATGCTTGGGACATGCTAAAACATCATAATGCCAAAAGGAATGATCCCCCCGTACCTTAAATGAATTGAAAATTGCTGCGCGCGAAACATCGGAAGCCATTCCTAAACATCTTCTGGACAACTTAATTGAGAGCATGCCACGTCGTCTCACAGCTTGCATTGAGGCTCGAGAAGGCAATACAGACTATTAGTTGTGAGAAATAATTAAAAATGTTTTCAATATTTTCTGTTTAAAATGAAATTTGTTTTTGTTGATTTTCATATTTTCATTTATTATGAAATAAAATTATAATAACAGCCTAGTTGCACTTAGATTACCCTCTAATAGTTATTTAAAAACCTTTATATAACATTTATATTTAACTTTTTACGGTATCTCTTATATTTTACCTTAGTAATCGACCGTTCCTATACATATCAGCGACCCTGTATAACTTTAGCCTTGTTATAATATTATGATCCATGATACACCTTTTGCTGTCATATTATTTTTAGAAATTAAATAAAATAAAAACAATAATATCATACTTTCATGCGTAATGACACTCACTTTGTTGTAAAAAAGTATTAATTTAATATAGTGCGAAACTCTACTACTCTTCAAAGGTAAAATCAAAAATACTCAATATCTAAAGGAGGATATCTGTTCTCATATTTTCATATTGTTCTTTTTCATATTTTTTTATTCATCTGATACTGGCATATTTACCGAAGCTGAAATTCGAGGCATTCTAAGCACACAAAGATTAAATTGCTCTGACGAGATACAAAATTACCAAAGTAAAACAGACGCTTTGGTTAAAGCAAGCTACGGCATGATCAAATCTTGATTCTGTTTGGACTTTCTTTGTGAACTTTGTCGGTTTGCATTTTGATAAATAAGATTTTAAATGTGGGAAGGGAACTTTGTTAATTTCTAGCTTTTAATAAGCTACGTAACAAGTCTTTGAAGTTATGCCGCTTTTATTATACTTATTAGTTGTTTGCTTCTCTCGCCTCTATCTTCTAAAGCTTTAAGTTTAATTTATTATCTCATTTAAGTAAATATAGCAAATTCTTTTTTTGAATTTTGTATGAACAAAATATTTTAAATTTACTTACAAGGTTTTT